ATTTGGCATCAAAAGACCTAATGTCCTATGCCATGCCATTGTCCGAGTGACACGAGGATAGAAGTGATGTAAAAGCAGCCCACTGGACAGCTGTGCGCTTTAGGACAGATTGTCTTACTTCCACTGGAGAAACTTCAGGTTTAGCAGAGATGCAGTAAAGGAAGTGAAGAGAGCAATGGCCACACGCATTTCCCATAGTGAAGTGGGAACAGAGCAAGCAACTCAAAAGGAAAGCAGTTACCCTTGCATTTCTGCTTCACTTGCTAGCCCTCAAGGAAAACCACATCTGCCTTATTGTGGCCCAGTAACACTGAGTGCCAAAGCCACAGTTCTGACCGTCCCCGGGAGGACTGCATCTACCTGCCAAGAGTGAAAACATGCACACATACACACATGCACAGTCAAGAAAGCACTGAGCCAATGTCACAACATACAGAGCCTTGTATTACTGAAAGTACCAATTTCTAAATGATGCATAAAAGTAAGGTTCCTGACCACTTACAGTCATTAAGAGATGGCTTGACACAGGTCAACAGGGGTAGGGGTGTTAGCTTCAGATTCACACTAAGTGCAAATAATCTTGTGCAACTTTTAGCAGAGAAGATCCTTTAAAAAAAAAAGCTTAAAAAGGATACTTGAAAACAGGCCATCCAATTGTTATCATATTATAGCATGGAAAAGTAAAATACTTTGTAAGATCTGAGTGAAAGTCTGAAACTTCCAGGTGCAACACACTGTGTAGGTCTCTGAAATTATAATTACACTAAGTAGTGTCAAAACAGCTGCAATAATGAGATACTATAAGGAAATGATTGACTAGATCTTGAGGAAAATCCTTAAAGGTTTTTTTTTTTCCCAGTTTCTGTGTGAGAAATAGTCTTCTTTTCCCCTGAAGCAGCTAAACTAGGGCTTTTCAGACAGCATCGACTTTCAAGTTGTGCATGGAGCCCTCTTCTGGAGAAATTTGAAAAAATAAGATAGATAAAGAAGAATTCTTTCAGCAGTGTAGTACACATATTTGGGGAAAGTGCTCTGTGACTACCTTGATTCATTATAGAAAAGCATACGTGAAATCTGTGCTTTCTGCCATGAACGCAAATACAACTAAATAGATTATTTTTCTTCTTTCAGCCTTGACAACATTCCCAAACCCTGTGTTTTCCTTATGTTGTAAGTTTTACTGTCAGATTTCTATGTATATCTTGCGAACAACCACTTCCGACAGCTAATTTGGACAACAACCCAACACCACCACTGCCGCACTCTTCTGTGTACTGCCTTGACATACCTAAGTAAGTAAGAAATCCCTGTAAAGAACCTTATTTGCCTTTAAAACCTTCTGTCTGCAAGTTTTAGAAAACATCAGTTTTCAATAACGCACTTTGATTTAGGATGGCAAACTATTTTAAGCAGCCATAGAGATTTACTACTGAAGCGCACATTGCACTGGATTACCCAGATGCAAGCTAGCAGCGTGCATTCAGTACTTTCACTGGCAACTTCAAATTGAAGAAGTGGGATAGTGTATATGCACTTTCAAAGTCACCGATCACCACCACATGGAGGGTTTCTAGGAATGCATTATCCTGTAGCCACTTATATTAAGATACTGCCAAATACTTCCTCCCTGCTCCCCCCCTGCCCCCTTCCCCAATCAACATACAGGAAGCACTTCATATTTATTAAATGACAGTAAACCATGTCATCAAGGAGACAAGGTCTTTGGGGCAATAAAGTTCAGTGCTCCATCTTGTTAATGCAAGCTAATCCTTACCAAAGGCCATGAAGTATGCTTGATAAAGTAAATGAAGCATAATGCTTGGGAAAAGAGTGGTCTCAGCCAACAATTGAGAACCACTGATATTTTTTAAGTGAAACCACTGAAGACTAGTTTAAAGGACTGATTTTTTTTATTATTATTATTATGACTTTTGAATGGAAAAGCTTCAAAACAAGCCTTCATTTCTTGAATATTCTCATGATCTAATCACAAGCTCTGGAAGGGGAACACATATCTATACTCCGCACCTTCCAGCTATTGCTGCTTAGAAAATGGACTTGCGCTTTTCCGCCACTTCCACAAAAAACTGTTGCATTAGTGGCTGGCTATTACTGAGAAATCAGTTTATCCGGATTGATTTTTGCCAGTTCCACTCACACGGTGTTGTGCAAGGTGTTAGTGCGGCTGCTGTGAAAAGAAAAATAAATAAATAAATCAATCCGAGAAAAATGTGTTACAACCACTACCGCTGCCAGATGGCTGCATTTGTTTCACGTTGTTTCGCACCTTCTTCTGTTTACTTTTCCTCTCGCATGCAAGTTCTGCGGGGAAGGAGTCACAGAGAAAAATCTGAACAGAATTTTAATAATTCCTCCTTTTCCCCTCCCTCCTACCGCCGACTGGACGCATCGCTGGCAATTAGCATTTTCCCCTGTCGGTATTCTACAAGCACCTTCCACAAAACAGTTCTATTTATGTACTTTCTTATTACTGCTTTAATTGATTTCCAAATGAATTAACTTTCTGACACCCTGCATAAATTTGTATTTTTTTATGTCACCAAGTAAATGCACTGGTAGGTGAAGCTTCCAAATGTAACAGAGAAAGTGGATCGTAGTATGAAACACCTGGAAAGACTGAACTGAGTAGCTAGATTGAATGATGCTGATCTTGGACAACTCAGTAATGCTAGGCCTGGCTGGTACTTGGATGGGAGAATATCTTGGAATACAAGGCACTGTAGATCCAAACCAGTGAGCTGTGGCTGAGAGCTTGAAGACCACACAAATTGGGTGAGTAGCTAGACTTGTTCAGTACCACTGATGCTGCTCACCCAGTGGACAGAAATAAAGGAAGGAAAAGCTGGACTATGCAAGGTAGTGTGGACTCAGTCCTACAATGGGCTCAGCACACTTTCCCCAGCTCAGCAAATCATTTAAGCATGTTCTGAACTTTAAAGGCATACATTAAAGTTAAGCAGGTGCTTGAGTATTTGGCGGGATCAGGCACTGTGCACCTTGCAGGCCCTACTAGTGCTTTGTTCATCCTGCAGTTCAAGCTGCTTGCTCAAGGGGCTGCTGGTAGAGTTGCTGAAGGCATGCCCTCCTCCGTCACATAGCTATAGCTTTTCTGATTCTTCAAAAAGAACTGCAACTTGAGCTGAATAATTCTGCTTCTAAGTGGAAGCAACTCCAATCACAGAGCAAAAACGCAGGCTGAACTGTAGTCCAGATGGCAGTCCTCGAGTCACTGGGCAGGGGGTCAGCTTAGTGCTCCCAACAGGTCATTTATGCAGCAGTGAGTTTCCCCAGGCAGTGCCCTCTCTGGAGAACACCTGTGCCGCCCCTGCTTCCGCCTGCATTGGCAGCTTAGCTTGCCCAGCTGCCTGCCTGTGTAGTCCCAGCCGGTCCTTGAATCTCAGCCCAGTCTCTCAACGTTTCCATCCTGATTCCCATCTGGGCACTCCCAGCGATTCCTAGAGGTCCTATATGAGCAGCTTACCTAACCACCTGCCCATCCGAGTGTCTCCCCTTAGAGCAATCCGTGGAGCCTGCCTAGCTTTGCTCATGCAGCATCCCATAGGCACATCCCTGGCATGTGCTTTCCATGCATTACTAGTGCTCCCATCACCAGGGCATCTAGGCATCGTGTATCTGACATAGTGCAGCAGTATGTACTCACAGTCTACCAAGGACAAAACTCTCTGCCATCATTCATTTTCTGTTGCTCCCTTTAGTACTTATGTTCACAATTGAATCCACCCAACTGCCTGTGCGCTCACCCCCATGGATTCCCAAACCATCGGGTCCCACCCTGTACCACAGCTTCACCAGCCACCCAAGCGTGCGTCAGGTCATACGAGAAGCTGAGCACCCCAGCTCTGGATCCAAAACTAACAGCGTGCATATGGTCAGCTCATACAGCCACCTCCTGCTCACAGCCCTTTGGCTCATCTCAGCAGCAAAGCCTTCCCTACAATGGACCCCCACCATTATCTCTCTCTCTCTCCCTGGCTGCAAAAGCAACTTAAACCCCTTTTGGAAACAGCACGAACACAATGATTCAGTGTCCCAAGCATTAGTTTGGCTAGTACTGAAGGAGACACCAACCTCCTGAGGGTTAAATGCAAAGTGTTTCAAGCCCCGAGTCAAAAAGGAATTAACTTTTATCTCCACTCAGGGCACAGGATGCCAATGATACTGTCACTTAACGGGAGTTTATAGAGCGACTAAGACAAAAAGATGAGTGCTTCACGCTGGACGACAACAAAGCAACCTCCAACATCACACGGAGCTTTCAAAACTAAACCCCTTGCATTCATATGGGGGAAGAAAGAAGCCAGAAGGGACTGAGAAGTCAGCTAGTTCTCTGCTGTGACTGGCAGCAGCAGCAGGGCTTTAGCAGCCCCGTGGCTTTTAAGGGGTGGGGGGGAGTCTGTTTGCTGGCAGCAGGGATCTATTACATATAATAAGAGGAAAAGCTATAGAGCAAGTCACACACACAGAGTATTAGACAGCTATCAAAGAGGGTGCGGGGGCACCTTATGCACGGTCTGATTTCTTTTTTTTTTTCCCCCTCCACATTTTTTTCTTCCTCCTTTTTAAAAAGCAATAAATAATGTGAGCTGTCTAGCACAGACCCCATTCCCCGGCACAAGCTACAGAGGAGAGAGAGACAAATCAAAGTTGCAGCATTTGATATGACAGAAAATATTGCTGCTGCAGCTGCTACTGAGACACTTGAAAGATTCCCCCCCCAACCCAACCGCTCCCCCTCCCCAAAAAAAAATATTATCTCTCACCCAGCAAATTTGTTGTAATTGTAAATCAGAGAGATTCCACATTCCTAGCAACTGGCTTATAGCAGAGATCTTGCATCTTTCAACAGTAATTCAAGCAATGTCTAATTACTCAGAAATCAGACTTGAATTACAAATACTTCCAAATGCAGGAGAGGGAAGATGAAAGAAAGCCCAAAATAACCCACCCACATTTCTTACCTGGGACAGTAGAAAGGACAGAGTAAGTTGAGTTTTGTGCTGCATTTTGCCAGACTAGAAGGTACCGGAGGCTTTTTCATTCATGCACTCGGCTGCACTGAGCATATTTTCACTGTGAAACAGCCTTTGAGAAGAGACTCTGCCTTGAGAGCCAGCCAACTTCCCAAATAGATCAGCAGCATCATCACTAAAGCATTGGATAGAGTCTGATGACCAGAACCAATGGCTTTACAAGGATGATTTCTTCACAAAGCATCCCCATTTTGCATCACACATACTGGGCAAGCACCTCTCACAAACACAGCACCTTTAGGAAGCATTTTGCCTTGGTGTATTTGTGTGTTTAGTTTCAGTCTAACAAATCATGCTTTATGGTTTTCAATAGTATTTTCCTTCCTGGAGAATGGAATTGCACAGAAGAAAATAGCAGCAAGTCAAAGCACCAGTGCAAAGAGCTTCTCTTTATTAAAATGTTAATAAGGTGCGCTTTATTTTCAATAAATCAAAAAAAAAAAAATGACCACAGCAGCTCTTAGCTGCTTCCAAGCTTTGGAAGAACAAGACAGAGAAGTTTGTGATGCAGAAGAAATACAGCTTATATTTTGTGTTTTTTCCCCCTCAGTCTCACAAATCACAATGAGGACGGATCAATTCTATCCTGCAAGGGGGGGAAAAATCCACCATAGGGCAAGAGATTTTATTAACTGTTCAGGTAATGGCTGGACTGGTTTTTATCTCAGTGAACTTGAATCTAGGACAATGTTTCTAAGGTCCATGCCCTTCCACAATGGGAACTTTTCTTGTTTGGAAGGAGACTGGATATTATAGCAATCAGATCCCTGCGGGCTATTCTAGCTCGCAGCATACCGTTGTGTAGGTGGGTGCCAAATTAAAAGTCAAATGCCCCTTTTTACAACTTCTTCTCACTTTCAGCCCATCAGTCACATCCCTGACTGTTTTTTTTTTTAATTCAGACCCCAGATTTCCCGATGGTTGTATGTAAATCTCTCCAGATGTCCCCCCCATCCAACTATCATCTCACAGCCTTTTGACTCGGACCATCCCTTTGTTACTTGTTCCTCACTGGCCTCCTCATTGCCTCTGGTGTCTCTGCCCCTCACCATCTCCTTACTGATACAAGCAGTTGACAAGGATGCCAGCCGCTGCAGTCGAACAGGGCGTGCAGCTACCCGGCTGCCATCCCACACGTGCAATTCTCCTGCTTGGCTGCTGCCGAAGGAGGGATGGCTGGATAAAGAGTCAAGACAGGCAGCTAGATGGGAAGGGATGCAGTTTCGAATAAGCTGTCAACCCCTTTCCATCTTCACCAGCGTTGGCAGGAGCTTCCTGCAGTGAGAAATGCGAGTCTGTAGCTTTCTCAGCCCCTCCTGGCTTTCCATTTTTATCCCAGCTCCTCTGAATGAACTCGCGCCCCTTTCTCCCACAGCACGGTCAAGGAGGGAGGAAGGCACTTGTCCTCCAACCCTGACTCTTCCCATGTAGAAAGAGCTTGGGGGTCAAACATGCCCCAGACACTGTTCAGGGTGGGTTTATATCTGTAAGCACATTATTTCATAAACATTAGGGCTGCAAGGGACCTCGTAAGATCACTGGGTGCAGGGGGCACGAAGTCAGCCAGGATCAAAGGATCCCAGCAAGGTAAGCACTCAAATGTTTCTTAAAAATGTGCAGAGTAAGTGCTTGCACCACCTCTGTGGGGAGTTGCTTCCAGGCCTTGGGGGTTTGGACAGTGAAGAAGTAAAACTTATAAATAGTAAATAGAGTGCAAGTAGGAAGCAGCAAACATCAGCACCACCAGTGCTGGCACTAAGACCTGCAGTGCCTTCAGCAAACTGGGACAGTTTTATCCCTCCCAGCGTCTTCCCTAATGCCCGCTCTCTGGCTGCACCAGGTACCAGTCTGTTCTCTTTCGCTCCCTTCTCTAAGCTTGTCAGGACTGGAGCTATGGTGTGACATACAATCCTTGGCCACTTGGCCTTTGACCGGGACCCCTGGCTCCCTTGGCTTTCAGCCATCCCACACCACTTGCCACCATTGCCCTCACTGCCTTCCAGGTCCCTCCCGTAGTCCCCAGACTGCACCTTGGAGCATGTTGGCTGTGGGAATAAGTCCAAAGAGCAGTTTTACCATTAGGGCACAGCACCAAAACGGGGGTTTACCCCTGACCGACAAGGGCCATCCCAGACTGAAACACAACCGTGCGGACAAGCCCAGAGCAGCTGCCATTTTTACCAACTGGCCCTTTCTGTCCAGGGATGCTCAGCCTCTCGCTCCTCTCAGGTACAATAAAAAGCTCAAAACTCACCCCAGAGTCCAGAAGCCACGCACCCAGCCTCAAACCACTCCCCAGACTGCGGCTGACTACTCTCTTCCTCGGTTTTTTGCACCCACCTCAACTATCTCCTCTCCATAGTTTCCCTCAAACCCTTGCTCTGTCGCTGTGCTGTTCCCTCCCCTGCAGGCTGTTATTTTTTAGCAGGTGTTTCTAATTAGCAGCTCGGTCACAGCTGGGTGCAGTTGGCTCCTTCATTAACCCACCCTGTGCTGCTCGTTTCTGGGTTTTACATACCCCCACCGCCCAGTCACAGGCTTTGTATAGGATGTCGGTCATCCTCCTGTCTTTTATTTTATTTATTTTTTTTGCCATTTGTAATAAAGGGGACGCCAGCACACCCTCAAGAAAGGTTTCATCCAACTTTGCTCACTGGCGCATATCGTGCGCCCGGGAAGCTGCAGATTCCCGTCACCCACAAGTGCAGCCGCAGCCTTCTCCTGGACGCGGGGAAGCAGATAGCTGCCAGAAAACTCATGTAGGACTGAAACCAACTGGGTGCTTGCCAGGCTACCACTCTTCTTGTGGAAGACCACAATAGAAGTCATGCAAGGTGAGAGTTCACAGCTCCCTTAATTCATCCCCATCAGCAGGCTGCTTTCAGGGAGGGACCTTCGTGCTCTTCAGGTTGCCGTCTGCCACTTCTGCTGGGCTTCCTGCCCTCATATAGGCTCTCTGTTTTCCAAGGGGAAGGAGTATATTACTACTAAGAATAGTGTTTGGGGCAGGGAATGAGTCGAAGCCTTTTGAATTTTTAAAGATAGACTGCAGATGGGCCCGGATTAGGAGAAATAAAAAAAAATAAGCATAGGCGTGAACTATTATTGCTGCCTGGTGTTTATCATTTTGGAAGGTCTAAAAAGAAAGGGTCCAATACGCCCCTGTGTAAGCTCCGCGGAGGTTGCGCACAAGGAATTTGGCCCATTGCATCTTTTCATTTCAGCAGCTTACATTTTCTGCCGCCCACACATACAACCACAGCCCTCTGCCGGAGGCTGGGAACGAGACAGCTGTCAGGAAGCGTGTATCGGCCAGCACTGGAACTTGTGGCAAGACATTATGGGCACAAGAGAACCAGCTGCTCTTGTCTTTTGGAAAACCTCAGGCATAAAGGAGGAAAACTAGATGTGATTACCATTTTTCCAGGAGGGGGATGACTCAAACCATGCAAGGGTAGGATTAGGGAGAAGTTAAAGAATGTGTTTTCAGGGTCTGTGCTTGCATGGCTGGCAGTTCTGCCAAGGCAAGCTTGGCTAGGGGCGCTCGGCTCTACCGCAGCTGAAGTGCCTTGGAGTACAGTTTAAATACTAGAGAAAGAGAGGAGCACTGTGACAATCAGCAGGCCTTCTTTCTTCTTCACAAAGCTATCATATGACTCGTTCAACACATCAACCTAGGGGTTGTTAAGGGATTTGTCTAGTTTCCCCTCATTAGGCACAGGATCTAAAGAAGAGAGGTGGAATAATTAAGCAGTAAGTGGGGATGGGTGGGGAAAGAGAGAAGACACTTTAGTAAACATGCCTATGTTAGCAATAGGCAATGGCAGCTAGACAACTTGTCCCCGTTGTATATTTTATACCTGTTGCAAAGAAATAGGATCTCTTGCTTTAGCACTATTAAAAGAGGATTCCCCATGGCTAGGGGAAGATGAGGATGCATTGTTTTATTTCATAAAAATCCTTTATAGTTAGTGGGACTCATTCCAGTCCTGCTCACTTACACTCCTTGGACTGTGAGTTTGGCACCGGGCTGGACACAGGCATGGGCAAACTGAGTGGCCGCCTGCAGCCCGGATAGAAAAGGGGCCCGAAAATGGTAATTTAAAAATTATTATTACCATCATCTCTGGTGAAGGGGGGCCGATACTAAAAGCCTGCCCAGGGTTGCCAGGAGTCTAGGCATGGTGCTGGTTTGGCATGATGTTTTCCTATTTAACGGAATAGGGCCCAGACCTAATTTGGGCCCTTTAGCACTAAAGTGATGTAAAAAAACCCCAAAATTGAACACAAGGTAAATAATACCAATCAAAACAAATGAGCTCTTGCAACATCATATAGCAATAATCCTGTAGACTATTCCCCACTGCTGAGTTGGACCTCTATTATAGACCGCTATAACATTTTTTAAAGGAATTTGGCTCCAAGAACTGTAATATATTATGCTGCTATCTGTACACTGCTGCTAAAACCATTTGCAAGCTTGTAACCAGTATCCATTAGCAAAAAGTCTAGTACAAGGAGTTAATGAACAAGATAGACTATCCACGCAGACTGGAGAATTATTAGTAGTTAAAACTACTGAAAGGAAATGATTGCTATCAGCTTGGAGAGGTACTTGAATCTACACTACCCCATCAGAGTATATCAAGTTATCACCAATCTTGAGTGGATTTATGTTCACAGTATTCTGGTGTGGTAGAGAAATATATTTATCCTTTAGCCAAAATGGAACTGAGGCACAGAAAGCTAAGAGCCTCGCTCAGGATCATACTGGACGTCTGTGGTACAGCAAGTGATTGAATCCCGGTCTTCAGAGATCCAGCACTGCACCTGCCGTTTTTCTATAGAGAACAAGCTTTTACAGTCAAAATAAACCTTCCTAGAGGACACGACGGCATCCACACTGTTTTCACTCCAGACAAAGACTGTACTAGTGTACAGCTGAAGTGTGACAAGACCTCCTTGGATCATGTTCCTCTCTTCACCCAGCTCATACCCTTCCCCAACCAAAAAACTGAAAATCAAACAAACCCCCAAACCAAAGAAAACTTGCATATTTTGACTAAATTCCCATTTTTTTGGAACAGATATAACTTCCAAAACTGATGAGGGTACAACGAGTTATGCCAGTGCAGAATGTGGCACACAGCTTTTAATTGGTGCCTTGCCAACAGGAAGAGGTATGACTCCTTGCTTCCCTTAGGGCTCCTACCTTATTGACTAAGGCAACAAAAGGAGTTTATTTTGGCAAGGTGAACGCTATTTTCCCAAGTCCTTTTAAACCCAAATCCTGCTCATAAATTCAGATCAGAGTAACTAAATTAAATGAATAAATGCACAGACATAGTATCATTCCCTATTTTCATTGCAGCTGTACCATGTCACAGCCATCATTTGATGATTCGGTTGGTAAGATTATTAAAAAAGGTAGCCCTTTTTGTTGTTATTACACATATCAAGGGAAGAAAATACAGATCCACTGAAAACAACTCAGGAGAACGGAGAGAATACAGATTAATATTGTCAGAGGCTTTTGTAAGAAGTATCCACAAAAAAATCAAGACATACAGCAGGTATTATGGGAAAGTTAATATTAAGAAACAAATGAAACACAGCATAACATTGTGCAGTGAAGTTGTGACTGAGTGATAGCTTCTAAGGTCCAATCAAATGCCAGCCAAGTAATTCAAAAGTTTAAACTGAGATATGGTCTTTCACTCCTGTACTTATGAGTTAAAATGTATATCTTCTCATGAGAGAGGGGCCATATCAAGTATTCTGCATTTTATATAGCTCACTTGTGAGAAGCACACTTCACCAACAAATAGCAATAAGCCTGCTTAATTTCTCATCTTTTCATACAGGAACAACAGATGGATAAATATAGCTTAGAGTGAATGTAAGCGGGGGAAAAAGAGAGAAGAGAGAGAAAAAGAATATGTCAGTCCTTGAATATATTGGCATACTAGGCTCTAAGTTACATATAGGAACAGTGTGGTAGAGTTCAGGAATGACCAAAGATGGGGCACACATAAAGGTTAAGTAGAGACATTCCAAAAGCCCAAGATTGACTCAATTCAGTCTTCAAAGTTTTGTCTAAAATGCATAGATTGAACAAATAAGCAAATGAACAGACATTCACTTCCAATTCTGGAAAGGCAGCCACATCCCTTCAGTGACCCAGGCCAGATGGCAGGGGGTGCTAGACTACATCTTCCTGCTTGGCTGAAGCAGACAGCTTGGGCCAAGGCGAGCAGCCTACATCCATCCAGGTTTATCTTAAACCGGTTTCAGCCATTTTGAAAGTGGTTTATATGTGCTGAACTTCTGTTGTGTTACAGATTTGAACCAGTTTCTGATCACTTGCACCAGTTTGTACGTAATTTCTGTCCCTAAGCAAACCCACTTTAAGTTAGAGAGCTGGACAGAAACCAATATTTTCTTTCCAGTAATTTTTTTTAAAAATTTCCACTGTCCTGATTCAGAACAAAAAGTTGAAATATGAAAGGTTTGAAAAAAAAAGTTATAAATATGGTTCTGGTACAATCCATTCCTTTTATATTAAAATAAATATCTTAAATTTTGAAACAAAAAGCTGCCTGTTCAAGTTGTTTGAAATGCTTTGTACCGCCTCTAAAATGGTTCTCCGGTTCTGAAATTGTTAAGAGTGACCCTCTCCCACAAAGGATATCTCTGCAGGGCACCAAG